TTACTCATATTCCTTCCTTTTTTTTTTTATTTCCTCCTTCTTTCACTTCTCATACATACACACATACACATACACAGTCATTCCTCAACTGTATTAAACCGCGCCGTAATTCATTTTGTTATTTTAATAAATCTGTTTATATTTCATTCTTTTTCCAATTGATTTCAAAATCACATATACCCTTCCAACAGTCAACTCATGGTCCTATCCCCGGTAAAGGGATTCGCGTCCCTGACCGAAAAACGGACCACTCGTCGTACGTCGGTGCCCGAGTAAAGGGACCCGTCGGGTCCCTGACCCGTTCACTGACACGCGTGTACGAACGAGGTTCGCCTTACTCGCGAACGAAAGGGTTGCGTTCCTCCTCTAGGACGTAACATTAGATTTTACATGATTCGGCTGCTTACGTATCGTTTCACTTTATTTTTTCACTCTCTGTCTCACACTCTCTCCCTCTCCCCCCTCTCTAAATTTCAAACTGTATGCGCCTAATATATCGTATGTTGGAGTCGGATATTACACTACAAGGATTACTTTTATGATTTATTCTAAACTTAATAGTATACAGGGTGCACGATTTATCTGAAGACATTGAAATATCTCGAGAACTATGCATTGGATAAAAAAAAGTTAATGAAAGTTGTTAGTCTCGAAGGGGGACATCCAATGATATCAAACTCGACCTCCCACCCCACCCCCTGGGAGTGGAGGTGGGGGCAACTTTGAAATCTTAAATGGAAACCCCCATTTTTATTGCAGATGCGGATTCTACGCCACAAAATACATAAATTTTGTTCGAAATTTTTTTTTGATTCGTGATAGATGGCGCTGTAATCGCAAAAAATTATATTTTCCGCAATTCTCCAGAAATGATCATTGGATTGAGAAATAAAAAATACCTGTTCAATATTTTTAAAGAACATGATAAAAGTTATTCCCCCCCATCCTCTCGGGGTAGGGTGGGTGGTAACGTTCAAATCTCAAATGGGAACCCGATGTTTGACAAAGTATGTGGTTTCAGCATGACGATTGCCCAGCGCATAACTCTATAGCAGCACGGGAAGTATTAGACCGTGATTACAATGGTCGATGGATTGGCAGAGGTGGCCCGATTAATTGGCCTGCTAGGTCGCCTGATTTGACATCGCCGGATTTCTTTCTGTGGGGTTACCTAAAAGATAAGGTTTATCAACAAGTGCCAACAACTCGTGAAAACATGGTAGAACGCATAAGAAATGCTTGCGCTGAAACTCCCGCAGATATGCTTCTATCCTGTGTACAGTCATTTGAAAAAAGGATCAATAAGTGTATTGAAGTTGAAGGTAAAAATTTCGAACACTTACTCTATAATAAATTGAACAGTGAGAGGCAAGGGGACTCACATTAAAAAAGCACCCCGATCTGTGAGAGGCAAGGGGACTCACATTAAAAAAGCACCCGAAGGGAACATAAAACTACTACGTCCTCGTCGTTGTTCCTGTGTAACGCTAAAAGTAGTTTCTCAGAAAAATTCAACGCTATCTATCACGAATGAAAAAAATTATTTCAATAAAAATTTCACGTACAATCTAATTCTGCAATGAAAAATGTGGGTCCCCATTTGAGATTTGAACGTTATCACCCACCCTACCCCGAGAGGATGGGGGGCGAATAACTTTTATTATGTCCTTTAAAAATATTGAACAGGTATTTTTATTTCTCAATCCAATGATCATTTCTGGAGAATTGCGGAAAATATAATTTTTTGCGATTACAGCGCCATCTATCACGAATCAAAAAAAAAGTTTCGGACAAAATTTACGTATTTTGTGGCGTAGAATCCGTATCTGCAATAAAAATGGGGGTTTCCATTTAAGATTTCAAAGTTGCCCCCAACCCCCACCCCCAGGGGGTGGGGTGGGAGGTCGAGTTTGATATCATTGGATGTCCCCCTTCGAGACTAACAACTTTCATTAACCACTTTTTTTATCCAATGCATAGTTCTCGAAATATTTCAATGTCTTCGGATAAATCGTGCACCCTCTATATGTGAGCACCGGTGACCCCAATGAGCACGAACCGCGTACGGGTAATTTTTTGGGTGATATGACGGATGAGCTTGAGAACCATGGTCAAGGTAGTTACATAGAAGCCTTTATATCCGGAGGCCCAAAATTTTATTCCTACGTTGTACGTACCCCGCAAGGTAGAACTCACGAAGTTTGTAAAGTAAAGGGGATAACCCTAAACTTCGAAAATTCGAGATATATTAACTTTAGCAGTATAAAAAATTTATTAATAGCCGAAAAAATAACCGAAAACGAGAAAGATGATGAGAGGGAGGAGGATTCGCGGAAAACATCGATAAATTTACGTTTTAGAGCGATTCGGCGTACCGCATTTCACGACGTCGTAACGAGAGACGAGAGCAAATCATGCAAGTCTGTGCTACTAAAACGTACATTCGACAACAACACAGGACACTCTCTGCCATATGGCTACGTGGCGTCGTAAGAGAGTAGTCGGTTGATCCTTCTCCTCTTTCGAATCTGAACACTTATTTCTAGAGAATAAGAAAATGTATAAATGTAAATATAGTGTTAAGTATTCTGTGTAAAAATATACGACTGTTTTCTCTCAATAATGACTTATCTGTATATTGCGTACACAGGGATATGAGCTAGTGGTCCCGTCATGGAAGACTCCTCGGCGCGGGGTTATAAGTCCATCACCGTTTCTTCTTTTCTTCAGTATTTATGTAGCTTCACTAGGTAACAGAATCAATCATTTAGCAAAATGGACGTTCGCTGGAAACATCCTTGGACATCTATCGTTTGCGGTCCTACGGGCTATGGGAAAACGGTTTTCGTAAAGACTTTTCTTCGTTATTTACCTGCAATGACGGATACCCGTTTCGACAGGATCCTATTCTATTATGCCGAGTGGCAAGTGGCTTACCGTCAATTACAGCAAGAAGTGACGAGATCAGGCCGTTGTATGATAGAATTTCGAGAAGGCTTACCGCGCGCGGATGATTATTCAAACGACCCTCTTGTCGCGAAATTGGTGATAATAGACGATCTCATGAGGGAATCGTCATCGTGCGAAGTAATTGTTGATCTGTTCACAAAGGGGAGTCATCACAAAAACCTTAGTGTTATACTCATTTCGCAAAATCTATTTCATCAAGGATGAGAGCAACGAGATATTTCTCTCAATGCGAATTACATCGTGGTGTTCAAAAACCCCCGTGATCGTGCTCAGATATGCCACTTGGCCAGGCAGGTATATCCGGAAGATTCAAAATTTTTGGAAGAAGCTTACTATGACGCTACATCGTTTCCACATGGATATCTGTTGCTCGATCTGAAACAATCTACTCCGGATGAGTATCGGTTTCGCACATGTATCCTCCCCATCAATACCACGCACTATGTTTACGTTCAACGAGGATCCACCAGAAGTTACGTATAAAACCCGTGCATATGCTTATTCTGTGTGTAGTCTTGTCGTCGCAATGACAATGAGTGGTGGTAGCAGAACGGATGCGAAAAAGAACGATAAAACAGTAAATCTGGCAAAACGATCCATCGGTGCGAAAAACATCTCTCTCTTGAAGGCGTTGTGCTACTTGACGGAGAAACAACGCGCTGCCTTTCTGCGAGAAGCGGACCGTGATTTCATTAGATGTATTTGCGAGTGCGCCTTCAACACACTCAAAGGTAACGTACCGCTCGGCAGTAGGGAAAAAATCGTCTATCACGTTACAAAGCAACGCTACGTCATATCGCTAATAACCGTGCCGATTGGAGAGGTAAACGGAAAGTGATAGTACAGCGTGGAGGATTTCTACCTTATCTGATTGGCCCTATACTCGGTGCTATATTATCCAAAATTATTGATAATTAAGACTGTTCGCGCTTGAACCATGGAAAGAGCCAAGAAGATGGTACTGATTTCTACGGATAATCTTGAGAGATTACAGCAGCAGACTCATACATCGCCGACCTCGCTGTCGTCGTCGTCGTTGGCGTCTTCCTCGACTATGATTCCCTCTGTTTTGACAGATAATCTCACAACTGGGTTGAACATAGCATCGGTAGAGAATGAAAATACGGTGCGTACTCCGGGTTCCGTCTCCGGGTCCTGTCACGTCTCGACGCAGAGATGCATAGAATTATCAACTCTCCGGTCCTCGGAGGAGCGCGGGAAAAATGGAGATTGTATAGAGAGGTGCTTCAGCGATATCTGTACTTTTTTCGAGAGCGGGAAAAACGTCGATTACGCGGAAAAAAAGAAGAGAAACCCGATGTTGGTGGTGCGATCGACCATGATGAAAACGCTGGGAAAGGGGAAAATACCCCTCGTGAAGATGACGAATACGCTGACGGAAACGCGGTAGAAGAAAACACAGGTATAGATGCAAATGAAGATATTCCCAATATAGAGACCGGAGTACGTCGAACGTTGAACATTTCTCAACACGTACGAGCCGATCGTACACGTAGTCGTCACCACCGCACCAACGAACAGAAAAGTATTGGGAGAATATTGAATAAAGTGCCAAAGAGTTACCGAGCTAAAGCGCGCAAGCTGTTGGCACATTTGTGTGATGCGGCGGTACCCGCAGTCGATTAAGCTGGGACAGACAAGGAGTCGTAACAATAGATTATAGAATTCTGAGAGGATCGAATATCATCGACCTCTTAAACGACGCGGCTCGTAAACGAAAAACCACCAGAGCAGTAGCGAGAGTACAGTTTGCACGCCTTTTGCGTGAAGTGGGTACTCCTCCGGAATTTGTAGGAAATCGAAAATTACTGGAAGAAGTTATGGTCTAAAGTGATCTTTCCGCGAGATTGAAAGAAACTCTTCCGAGAGGTAGCAGCACACCGCTCCCATCACCTAACGAGCAGCTTTGGTCTAAACGTAAGATTGCCCAGACGTCGCTTGAGGAAAGAGATCACGAGGATGGACGGTCTCTGTTTGTAACAACCAATGAGAATAGAAATAAAACACGAATGAGCGGAGACATTTCTAAACCAACGAGTAAAAGACGCGTGATAGATTGGAACCCGTTAGAATTGGGTATAGCTTCTTCGCCGACTAACAGCTATGCACATCGGCTTCCACCAACGAAAGGACGAACGTGCAAACGTACTATCGGAGACACGTCTCTCGCTGAAGAACGCGACACGGAGCGCGTACACGCGCATTTATAACTTCCGATCAACATAGGCGTAAAACACGAGTGAACGACAACGCTTCTAAATCAGCGGATAAAAGACGTTTGATCAATTGGAACACACTGGAATAACTGACCTCGCAAAATTCTACTACGATCCTGCACACTATGCGGGATACTCTACAATAAAAAATCTTTCGCGAGCAGCAGGACCTGGCTCCACGCGTGAAGAGATTATTCGTTGGCTTCAGGCACAGGATGCATACACACTTCATCGACCGGCACGGTATAAATTCCCGCGCTTGCGTTACAACGTCACGAATATCGACGATCTGTGGGAGGCTGATTTGGTTGAACTCGCTAATCTCCGAAATTACAATGAGGGCTATTGTTACTTGTTGACAATCATCGATGTGCTTAGCAAATTTGTCTGGGTAGAACCAATACGAAGTAAGACTTCGGACAGTGTGACGGAAGCTTTTCGTCGCGTGCTCTCAAGAAGCAGAGGACGAGTACCAGTGTGGTTGCAGAGTGACAAGGGTAAAGAATTCATCAGGCAAACATTTCAAAAATTTCTGAAGGAAAAGAACATAAGTTTTCGCACGGTACGAAATCCGGATGTCAAAGCAGCGGTGATCGAACGCTTCAACAGAACGCTCAAAGAACGTTTATGGCGCTATTTTACACACAAAAATACACATCGCTACATAGATGTTTTGCAAAGCATCGTGCACGCTTACAATCACACTCGACATTCAACCATTAAAATGGAACCGGCAAGCGTTACGTTGGAAAATGCACGCATCGCTCGTGAACATATGCAGCAGCGATACCATCATCTCGATAAACTCGATCGAAGAAATCATAGACGAGGAGCTAAATACAAAGTGGGTACACTAGTGCGCGTCAGTAGAGCGAAAGGAGTCTTTGAGAAAGGATATGAGGCGAACTGGACGGAAGAAATATTTCGTATTCACCGTATTCTCGAGTGGCGAAACTCCTGTGTGTACGAATTGAGTGATCTGTCAGGTGAAGTGATCGATGGGATATTTTACGAGCAAGAACTAACCGGGGTAAACAAAAACTTACAAGAAGAAGAATTTATCGTGGATAAGATGATACGACGCAGAGGACGAGGAGCTAATAAAGAATTTTTCGCCAGCTGGCAGGGTTACCCTTCTAAATTCAATTCCTGGATAGCTGCTTCGAATATAAAACTGCTTCCAAACCATGATGGGGGAAAACTAGTTTCTCATGATACTACCGAGCAATAGCAATATGCGACACTATCTCGAAAACACAACTACTTCATTTATTACGGAATTGCCTCAAGAAGTGAAGCTGACTGGCTTATGGAAAGTAGCACTTACCGAAATTCAATACCCCTTTGGTTTTTTACATGTGTGCCCCGAGGAAGATACAGAACTCGTATTCATTTCATTGCCGCGAGAAAATATTAATACCAAAAACACCAAATCAGTTATCATAAAAGTCAGTTATCAAAAATGACGACCATCTACCCAAATTAGGGTTTACCCGCATAACCTCCGGTGTTTACACCACAGTGAGCGAATTGTTACAGTCTTTAAACAACGCTAGCTTATTACTCAAAATGCACATTGCCTGGCGCCAGGATCCTCATCACGGTGTTAAAGTAACGGTGTACTGCACATGTGATATTAACCGTTTGAGTCCCAAGCACCGCGATCGCGCTGTTCAGATTTTATGTCGAGAAAACCCAGTACATTTCGATCATTGTGGACAACTGACGGTCGAAGTCGCGCGCTCAGATTTACTGAAGCAAGTATATCACACCGATCCTTTTAATGTAAATACATTTTATAATAGGTAGAATAATACTATAATAATGCAATAATACATTACAAAATAAAAATTTTTATTTCATTGTTATCTTCTCAATAATTTTTATCGAACAAAACTTGAAATATTTATAAATTTACAGTACGCATATGTAATAATACAGATGTATTTTATAAAATAACGAATTACAAATTAACAATATTTTTGTGTTATGAACAAATAATTTAAATGGAGAGTAACAATTATAATTTGTAACATCGGTGTTTATCAAAACATGTTGGATGGATTCCTTTTGCTTCGTTGCTCCGTTGCTTCGTCTAATCATTTTGAAACACACAATTATTAACAATGAGAAACACTTACGCAAGAATACGTCCGATCGCTTTGCAAACTACAATAAATGTGACAGAGCGATGAGAAAAAGACGAGAATCGCGTTACCTAACAAATACAAGAAGCGGTATTGGTCCGATTGGGATTCATCGATGTAAAATAAACAAAGCGCTATCGCGCTGCTTGGTATTTCTCGACCTAAAATAAAACAAGCGCTATCGCGCTGCTTGGGTCTTTTCATACTCATTTATAGAAAGCGCGGTTGCGCTGTTTGGGATTCTTCGACAGTGTTTTTTCAATACCCCCTGGGACTCAAACGGTTAAAGAATGCAATTTCTTCATTTCGTGAAGTTTTCCGACAAAGTGGCTCGTATACTTAGCTTCGATTTGTATAGACCGAACGAGGAATTCATTCATCTCAATTTGTCAAAAATTATGCAGGGTCGTATAGCATACCATCCCAATACTGATCGTAATGTGACGCCCCAGAAAGTTGGAGAAGGAAGGTTTTACTCTTTCATTACGTCGAAACGTGAACTTATGTCCGACGAACCAGCTAGTATGGTGCGGGGTATACCCGATAAACTCTTTGTTTATTGCGACATTTGCGAGTCCTATATAACGGGGGACGTGTATTCTCCTCTTCTCCGTATAGTCCCCATCGAATACAATGGTAATAAATATGCCTACGGCCGTAACATGGTGAAGCATTTCTCACCACCGAATTATATTCCATTGCGGTTAACATGTTTCCGCACGATCGAAATAGATATAAGAGATCAGGTTGGTGAAAGAATACCATTTGAATTTGGGACGTTGACAGTTACATTACAATTTAGATGTCGTGATTAGCACGATATGACCCATTATTTAAAGTATTACGAAGCGCAATCCGGGGGAAGTCGCAGTGGTGGAATTCCGAGAGTTTTTGTAGGATCATAGTATCAGCGTGGTCATGGTATCGGCAGTTTTCTCGGTGGTCTGTTTAGACGCGTGTTACCTTATCTGACCAGTGGTGCGCGTGTCGTTGGAAAAGAAGCTGTACGCGCAGGGATTAATATACTCGATGACGTGGAGAATAACACGTCGTTGAAAGCAGCTGTTAAAACACGCCTCAAGGAATCAGGCTCAAATCTCAAAAGAAGAGCGGTAGAACACATTAATAAACTGATGGAGGGGTCTGGATATAAAACGTCTGCGAACATCAGAAAAGCACAGTTTCCTTTCGTCACGCTAAGCGGATACAGCAGCAAATCATCTGCACCCAAACGTCTAGTCAACGCTTCTAAATCAAGTAAGAGGAAAGTGACTCGAAGAAACGTACAGGGGGAAAAATGGTATAAGAAGCTACCGAAGAAGCCGGCTAAGAAGCGTTCAGTGAAGAAAAGCGAGAGAGGTCTTGCTAAACGTCGGGGAGTTATCAAGAAGCGTACCGTATCAGATATTTTTCCTAAACAACAACAACAAACGCCTGCTTTCGAAGTATGTCGTTTCTTCATACGCATTCCTGTGAATGTTTAAAGAGTGAACTCGATCTCTTCACTCTACCTCCTACACAAACCAGTATTGAGAGCTCGCAATGGATTCACTACAAACCCGTGTCTTCTCTCACGGACGACGCGCCCATCGAATTCGTCGTACTAGGACATGGAGAAGAATACATAGATCTTGCTCACACCGTGCTGTCACTACGCATACGCGTAGAAACGGAAACTGTAGCAGGAGCCACCGCCGCAAAAGTAGGTCATGTAAACCATATACTGCATTCGATGTTCAATCAAATCGACGTATATTTCAACTAAAAACTCGTGTCACCTCCAAACAACGCTTACGCTTACCGCGTCTACATAGAGGCGTTATTAAATTATGCTTCACCAGTAAAAATCTCCCACCTGGCTTCGTGCCTGTGGTACAACGATACGGCGGGGAACATGGACGCTCTACCTGGAGCGACACCCTGCAATTACGGACTCTACAAGCGAGCCGCTTTTGTACAAGGAGGGCGAACGCTGGATCTCATAGGCCATCTTCACTGCGACGTCTTCAATCAAGATAAATTTTTGATCAATGGTGTCGAAGTACGCATGCGACTTGTTCGTTCAAAATATTCCTTCTGTCTTATGGAGGAAAATATTATGTCGCGGATACGCATTTTAGATGCTACACTACTCATTAGAAGAGCTAGAATAAATCCAGGCATATTACTCGCCCATACAAAAATGTTGACCAGGACTACTGCTAAATACCCGCTCACGAGAGTCGAAGTTAAATCATTCACGATTCATAATGGCGTCGTAGGAGAAACACTGGACAACGTCATTCTTGGGCAAATACCGAAGCGTATAATTGTCAGTTTTGTGGATAACAAAGCATTTAACGGTGCCCGACATTTAAATCCGTTCAATTTCCAGCATTATGGAATAAATTTCTTTTCGCTGTATGTCGATGGAACTCAAATCCCTAGCAGGCCGTTACAGCCAAAATTCTCTGGTAACGAGATGCTCTACGCCGAGGCGTATTACACCCTTTTCTCGAGAACGGGTATTCACTTTTTGAACGAAACTAATTCTATATCCAGAGAAGAATATCCTGCTGGTTTTATTCTTTTCGCCTTCGATCTCACTCCTGATCTATCGGCTAATTGCGCAGCTCAGTGGAACCTTGTGAAACATGGTAGTTTGTGAATAGAAGTACGATTTGAAAAAGCTCTCACAACAACGATCAACTGCTTCGTTTACGCTGAATTTGAAAGCGTGCTGGAAATAGATTCTTCTCGTCAAGTCATTGTAGATTAGAGCGGTTAAAACGAGTCCCCCACTGTTCTTTTCGATGTCATTCCCCTTTCAATGTAAAGATTTTCAACATCATAACCCTCCTGAGTAAAAGTTTTGAGAAAAGAGTCCACTCGATTTCGAGGCGTGAAAAGTATAATTTCGGGGGAAGCAGAGTTGCGTATACAGAGGGAACATGGATATCATTATCGAAGTACAATGTTTTCGCGATAGCGACGATGTCTACGTGCTCAAAGAGGTGGCTATTGTCGGTATTAATGAGGCATTCGTCGGTCATTGAATCTTAGCTCCAGAGTATTCATTTGCGGAATTGAATGAAAAATCAAGGCGTATAAATAACTGGCTTTCACAGAATTATCATGGTATCGAGTGGTACGACGGGGAGAGCAATCCGAAATATTTCTATCCGCGCTTGCGTGAAATTACGAGTCATATTCGTGACTTCATGACAAAGGGCAATTTACTAACCCAAAACGTGTATAATCTGGAGAATATATCGCCGATGTCTAGTGATCTTTCATCAAGCGAACGTGTAGAAGCTTGCTCATTCCACGCATTTAGAAAACATAGTCGTTATCACTGTGCATTACGCAACGCATACAAATTGAAACATTGGTACATCGAACAAAGCCAAATCAACATCAGGAAACATGACAACATTTATGTGGCTCAGTGCTTGTCCTCCAAAATTGACGAGGAAGAGAGTGAAAATAGCTATTCCTACAAATTGGGGAGTGAAGGGTCATCGACTGAAGAAGAGGAAAACGAAACAAATACTGAGTTGAAGCATTCAGTCGAACCGTCGAGGACTATAACAATCACGCTACCAGGGGTAAAACGAAATTATATAAAATGAATTCGCTCGAAATTCAACATGCGCTGTAACATCTCAACGCCAGATACACAGTCGTCTATCCAGCCGACAGACTACCGAGGGTGTGGACGAGATCGACGGCAATAGTCGCTAATACAGACAATCACGACCGTCCAGGACAGCACTGGGTCGCATTCTACATCGATCAGAATGGAGCAGCCACGTACTTTGACAGCTACGGGATGCCGCCCAGAGATTCACGATTTCTGCTGCGTCTTAGAAGAAATTCCGCCACTTACCGATGGAATACCTCTCAGTTACAGGGACTCTTATTGACGATTTGTGGCCATTATTGTTGTGTTTTTCTTTACTTTATGTGCCGGGGTTATAACCTCAATACCTTTAAAAATTTGTTTACCAATGATTGCGAACGAAATGATCAGCCAATTGTACGAATGTATAAGAAAATCTTTTGTCAATGTAAGCGTAAATCACTAAATTATCATATCCCTATG